GCTCCCACTCAAACCCAGCTGCAGCAGAGGTGGCAGAGGCAGCTCAACACGCTGGTTGTGGGGCTGTCAGACTGGTTGTGGGCTGTGGCTGAAATGCTCCTGGGGGCTAGATGTGGTTGTGCCAGGAACTTTCCTCTGGGGATGGTTGGCTCCTTGCAGAAGAGACAGGCAGCTTGCAGCTTGGGGAGAGGACTGAAAACCATGCCCTCCCTTATAGCAGGTGGTAGCTTGTTTCTTAGTGGCACATAAAGTGCTTGCTAGTCTTTTTTAGCAGGAGGGAGTGAGCCCTAAATCCATGGAAGCCTGGGTGTGACAGGTGGTCTGTGAGAGGCAGGGAAGCTGCTCCCAGGTGCCCTGGCTTAATGGCTCCCTGTGGAACACTGACCAGTCCTGAGCAGTAACAGCATTTCAGCCATGGCTTTCATCATGGCAGGGGTGGGGCAGGAGGGAAGGCGGGGAAGGCCCCAGGGCAGTGTCTCCACTGGGAAAGCACAGATAACATCACATCACAGTGAAGTGCACACTGGTGCGGGATGTGTGTGTCATGGGTCAGAACTCCAGGAACACCACTGCTCTCCTGTGTCTCCTATTCCTTTGTGGTTGTCACAGTGTGGGCAGGGATTGGGGATGTTTGTGTGGGATCCAGTGACAGGGAGACTGAGAGGCTGTGACTCCCCTGGCTGGATAGAAGCACCCGGTGTGTGTGCAGACAACATGGCACCTGCCATTTCAGCGTGGCTCGTGGTGAGGGAAGTGACCTCACATGGGCCTGCTGCCCAGCGCTCTGTCCCCAGAAACTCTCAGTTCAGCAGTGTCAGCAGCATCTGCATTTGTCAGGACAGAAGGGCTCCCACAGACAGGGAGCTGGCAATCTGCACAGGTGTGAAGGGAGGAAAAGTCATCACTCCCACCTGCCTTTGCTGACGGGTTCCAAATCCCTTGAGAGTTCGTCTCTGTCAAAATGTGGCTCCTCCCTCTTCAGCTCCACCACTTCCTCTCATGGGAACCTCCAGTAGGGGCAGGTTCTGGCTTTTTCCCTTAGTATTGCACCTGGGCTCTCCCCTCTCACCGGAAACTTCTTCCTCTTTGGGACAATCTGGCAACCAATGTCTCTAATTAGTCATCTCGTCACTCTCCCGTGTCTTTTTCTGAAAACTTTAAAGTAATGATTGAATTTATACATTTATAATTTTAATTTAAAAGATATAATGTATGACTGAAAAATAAGAAATTCTATTAGCGCGGCATGGTCGGCACATGCACTGTAGTCCCAGCACTGGGAGCTGAGGCAGGAGGATTGTTTGGAGCCCAGTGTTTGGAGGTTGCGTGAGCTAGGCTGGGACGCACGGCACTCTCTAGCCTAGGAACAAAGCAAGACCTTGGGTTCAAAAAAAAAAAAAATTCCTACAACCACATTTTCACTGGGACTGATTATGTTCACTTTGATTGAAATGGTTTCTTACTAATTAAGCCTTTCTTCCAAAGATTTAAAATGGAGGGAAAGAATGAACTTAAGGTTTGAAATTATTTGTAAGAAATTTTGTACTCTGACCATCAAAGATTTGTTAAACTATTTGAATAATTTATAAGAAAGTTCTTTTATTCCTTTACCTTTTTAAAATAAGACATAAGTATGTATGAGGCTGTGGTTAGTATTATTCACTTTTATTCTATAGCTGACGACGGAATTCTTCCCTTCCAATTATTTTTCTATTGATCTCTTTAATATACTGAAAATAATAAACAACAAGAAAATACATTTTACTCTTTTCTCTAACTTGCATTAAACTTAACTACATATAAATAATTTTGCGGTTTTTTTTTGAGACAGAGTCTCGCTTTGTTGCCAGGCTAGAGTGAGTGCGTTGGCGTCAGCCTGCTCACAGCAACCTCAATCATCCTGGGCTCAGCGGTCCTTCTGCCTCAGCCTCCAGGATAGCTGGGACTACGCGCATCGCCTCCATGCCCGGCTAGTCTTTTATAGTGATATTAGTTGGCCATAATTCTTTCTATTTTAGTAAGAGACGGGTCTCCGTCTTGCTCGGCTTGTTTAAACTCCTTGACCTTGACAATCTCCGACCTTGGCCTCCCAGAGTTGCTGGCTTACAGGCGTGAGGCCCGCGCCGGCCTTTACAATACATTTGAAAGTCTGTTATATTTTAAGTTAATTATATAGAATGTCATGGCGAATATGTGTGTACATCTAACATATTTTAGATGGTTTCTAATATGCGATTTTTGACATAACATCATTGTTATTGACCTCCCACCTAGATTACTTCTTCGTAAATGCAGAAATATTGTTTGATGATCTGTGCTAACACCACCCCTTAGAAAATACCTATCTGTGCATGTGTGGGTCTATGTGCATGTATCACATTCCAGTTGCTCCCAACTATATGAAGCATTGATTAACCAGAGATTGAGGGGGTGATGAGTCCCCAGGTGACCTGGCTGAGGTGGGGTGAAGGGGAGGCAGCCCCAGGTGTTCACCCCTTTGTGTTCCTGACGTTCAGGAGCCCCTGAGGTCCAAGCCTGCATCCACGGTGCTGGGTCCTCAGTCACTGATAAGTGGAAATGCACATGTCCAGGGTAATTAGCTTCTGTGGTCCTCTCTCCCAGACAGAACAGAGAGCGCACAAGGGCTCAGTTATTTCTGTATGCGGACCATTTTCCTTGCTAGTCCTGAGCTCTTAGGGTCCAGCAAAACTCTCCCAAACTGATCCAGAAGCAAAGTTTGGATCCAAAGAACACAGGAATGCTGAAATAATTCAATGAGGAGGCTAGAGTGAACCCTGCTACAGCAGAGAAATGGCTTATTGAGAAACTGCATAAAAGTCACATCATGAAACATGAACGAACATAGAAGGCAGAGCCCAGGGGAGAAGCTGGGATCAGGTCTCTTCATCCCTTGCCCCTTCCCCTCTCAGGAGCACCTGAGAGCATGAGCCAAACACCCACAAGCGGAGAGTGAGGACACCCTCTCAGTCATGGGCTGGGCACAGAGGGTCAGGCCTGTCCAGGGCAGGACGGTGTCCCCGGGGAACCTCCAGGGATCCTGTGTGACTTTGCTCTGCTCTGGCCTCTCTGATCTCTTTGTCCACAATCCCCAGCCCCGCACCCCCAGGATTACACAGTGGAGAATCTCGTCCGCATGGGCCTGGCTGTCTTGATCCTGGTGGCCCTCGGGATTCTGCTGTTTCGGCATTGGCACAGCCAGAAGAGACACCAGGATGCAGCCGAGAGGTAAACTCCAGACAGAACAACGTACCATCCAGAGTGGTCGAGTCTTGGAATTAAATCTGATTATCCCAGGAAGTTCAGGAAGATAATCCAGAGCATGTGCTGTGTGGACTGTCTGCTGGTCATTTCCAGAGGGGGGAATCAGTGTCCGAGTGCCGGGACACCATGCTCGGTGGGGAAACTGCGGCCTTAAGGAAACTTGTGGCCTTTCTAGTCCTTAAGTGCAGCGTTTAAACTGAATTCAAATTTCACAGAACAAATACTTTCATTAAAAGGGGTGCAACAGAGAACGCAGAAGCTCTTCTTGCCACCTTTGGTGCTAAAATTGACTATCTTGAAGTCAGAAGGCCGCAGGTTCCCCACCCATGGCTGGGGCCATCTGTGGACGACCACTGAACTGCGATACACTTGCTCTATTCCTGCATTGGCTTTCCTTACTGAACACCCTCCTTTCCAACCTTCAGACATGAGGCCACATTTCACATGGCAGCTTTGGGCCCACAGCTCTGTACACCTTCATGCTCTGCTCCACTGTCCTATACACACAGTTTCTTTATGTCTGGTTTCCACGTTCCCTGGCACCCTGTGCAGCCTCCATCTCTTCAGCCAGAGTTCCACACCTGGTTAGTTCCCATAACTGAATGAATGGGAGAAGATCAGATTTCAACCAGAAAAATGTCATAAAAACGATGCACTGACACCCTGTCTGCACCCTGCAAACCCTTCAGTCATTATCAGATGCTGTCTACCTAATTTCTCCTAAAATATTATCACTTGGAATCATCACACCGGCTTTTGAAGTGACAACTCAATGGCATGTTGATTCTGAAAAA